GGGGGGGGGGGGGGGGGGGGGGGGGGGGGGTGCAAGAGACAGATGGGAGCCTGCGCCGACTCTTTCAAGGTCAAGACATCGGTGGATTTTATATGTGGATTCAGTGGTAAAACAAAATATGCAGCACGCAGATTTGTAAGCTCTGGGTTCCTGCGTGGAGAAAGCTGTGGGTACGTTGAGGTTGGCATGATGATTTCCGAGACTGCAAGCCATTTCTATCACATCAAAGTAACAGTAGGGGGACGTGCTGAGCTTCCTTTGGAAAACACTGGCTTATTTGGCTTTTACGTCTGCATCAGGAGGTTGGAATTCCCTTCTGCTGAACAGGAGAGGTTTCCTAAACCAGCAGCCAGAACGTTAAGGAGTGAGGAGGAGCATTGTTGGTTAAAAATTGATTCCAGTGTTTGTAAGTGCTCCTACAACTTTTTATGTTGTGTTAAGCCACAGTGCGTTCTCTGTAGATGATAAAGAGAGTGTGTAGAAATACACAAAGAGAGAGTGCAACCCTGTTTTTGGATGTCACCTCTGGTTGTGTGATCTGTTAGCAGTGTGCAGCGTTCTGGCAGCTGGAGGATGTTTCTGGCTGTCAGTCCTCCTCCTCCTCTCTGCGTCTCCTGTCTCATGCTGTGATTGGATCTGTGTTTCCTGTCAGTATAAAATGACCCAATGACCGCACACTTCCTCTATCGCTCACACGTCCACCACCCTCTTCCTCTTGTAGACTCATTTAGTTGTAGACATCCAGTCAGTGTTGTTACACAGTGGATGTGGAAAGTTTTCTATACATCATTACATGTTTTTTTTAATTAATGTGAAACACTGATCTGCTGCTGACAGCACTTTTGAACACATTTTAGTGTAGTTTACTAACCTGTTGAAGTCATTAGGTGAAGTTTGAGTATTTGTTGGAAAACACTGCCCTCTGGAGGTTAATTAATGTTATAAAAGGGCTTTCACTGCCCTGAGTCAAGCTTCTCAGGCATCATTCACACAGTAGCCCCTCTTCTCATTTGTCTTTATATGTACATAATTGATTCTTACCCTCACCTCGTCTCCTTGCATCTTAGTCCCTCCCACCTAAGACATCCATGCTTTGGAACCATTATTTTAAGGTGACATCAATTAAATATGAAGTGTTGCACCGCTGCATCATGTGTCCATTTTTTTAGCCTATCTCTGTGTTTGATTTGATTTGATTTGAAGGTTTATTTTGAACATAAAAAAAGAAAAGAAAGCAACAACAACAGACAATGAAAGGTTTGTTCAAAAGGGAGTGGGAAGAAGTTGAAACTTATCTAATCCCACCCCCTCTCCCTGCACAAATGATTTATATATATATCTATCCTGCTTCCTTAGAAATACTACTGTTAATAACAATCATAATAATAATAATGAACATGATTTATAGGATCACCGTTTTATGATCTTTGTCAAACGAGCGTAACAGTGTTCATGACAACTTATATATTTACTTTTAATTCAATTCACAACTTGGCATAATGTGACAAAAATGTATTACTTTATTACTTTTTTTATGTCATGGGTGCCGAAAAAAGATTTTGGCAAAGGATACACCTGTGCATTCTCACTCACAGCTCCTCCAGGAAGCCTCACTCCTCTCTCCCGAGATCCATTTTTAGGAAGTGAAGCATCCTTAAAGATGACGCACTGAGAACAATTTCCAGGTCACAGGCAAGAGGACAGAGGAGATGAGGAGATGAGGAGGCACAAAATAGAGAAATGACAAGAGACCCAGGATAACGTTCTGCATAGCATTTACACAATCAGCAGGACTCGTACAATTCCAAAAACAAAATTAAAACATCACACACTAACAGGCTTGAATCAAAATTATTTACAAGTTCATATTTATTAAATCATAAGTGCAACTGTGGGATTTTGACACAGGCTTCTTCAGGTTCACTTCTCAGTGAGCACTTTCTTTCAGAGTACTTATAGATCATTCCTCATTCACTAAAACCGTGGACCTAAACTTTAAGATCACCATCTACTATACGAGATAACCAGTTGAAACCATTGTAGCTACAGCATCACATGAATTACTGCATACTGACACTTTAAACCTGCATTTACAAAGACAAAGCACCACCGCTTTTAGCACCACAAGCCGAGTGCCATCTAGTTCCATTATATTCAAGAGAGGGCAGACATCTCTACAGCCAATATCTCCAACACTCGCCAACTCTGTTCTGACTACACAAACAACATAATTGTCAAAACATCCTTAAGAATCTGGAGTCAGTTCAGACGTTTTGGTTTTCAGTTATATTCTATGTCAGCCCTGATAACCACACATCATGCCTTTCCTTCATCTTTGATAGATGGTGCATTTACAATTTGATCCACCTAAGGCATCAAATCAATTAAAGATTGATACTCTAATAACGCCTTTGCTTCTTTTCAACAGCTATCTGAAAAAGTTGTCCTCCCAAACAACACTTCTTTAGATATCTTCAGATTTGTAGTTTTGTTAGTAGTCGATTTCCTCAGTTCCCTAAATTGCCAGTTAATTCACCTTTGGACACATTCCTCAAGCCAGCATCCACCCTAAAAGGAATGATGTCATCTATATGCTCAGATTCACTCCATACGACTTGTCTCTTTAAATTTTATTAAAACACTTTGGGAAGTGGATCTGGGCGAGGAGATTCCTGAAGAGCTTTGGGAGGGTGTCCTTGATAAAGTACACAGTTCATCTATCTATGCAAAACATGGACTGATCCAGTGCAAAATAGCACACCGTGCTCATTTCACCAAGGATAGACTCTCTAGGATGTGAACTTGGCTTGTGACAGGTGTAGCCAGGCACCAGCGAGCCATGTACACATGCTCTGGTCTTGTCCTGCATTACAGACGTACTGGGGGGAAATCTTTAGATCGCTGTTAAGGGTTACTGGAAAATCTGTTGAACCTTAAGCTATGATTGCATTGTTTGGTGTAACTCCATCCACAGTACCACTCTCTTCCTGTGAGGAAACTTTTACAGCCTCTGTTACCTCACTAGCCAGACGTCTGGTGTGACTGAAGGGGAAGTCCCCAACGCCTCCCTCACACACTCTATGGATAAGGGAAGTCCATAATTTTGTCGAACTAGAAAGAATCAGGTGCATAATAAAGGGCTCCCTGAGGAAATTTTGCATGATGTGGATCCCTTTTTTAGTATGTACGAGAGCAGGACTTTCCAGATATTCCTGAATGATCTATTCATCTATTTTACAGACATTACATTGTGATGTGACAGGCAGTTGTCCAACCAATAACCATTAAGTTGTGTTTTAGTATTTAGTGTTATTTGTATCGTTATATTTTACTCTGTTGTTTTGTTCTTTGTCTTCTTCTGGGTACTGATTTGGTTTGTTGTATTTGTCTTGTCTTAGTCCTGTCTTGGTTTTGTATTGTTTTTTTTTTTACCTTGAAAATTTCAGATTGTGTTTTTTTTATTTTAGGCTGAACTGTCCCATTAGAGGCAAAGTAAAATCAACAAGATAATTGATAAAATGATACATGCATAATACAGTAATACACATCTCCTACAGTAATGAAAAAAGAAAGTAGCTCCCATTAAACACATTTTGTGTCAACTCCAGGTCGTGGAAAAGATCCCTTCTTCAGCAACACTTTCCATGACTCACGAGGGGTGCCTGTTCCAGGACCTCAGGGTCCTCCTGGGCCAATTGGTGAGTGTTTATCACCATCCGTATAATGTTAATCTCTGTGCTGCACAGAGTGTTTTTGTTGTGTGTATGAAACTCAAATTCTTTTATATAAAATAAATACACTCTCATTTTGCCTCCGTCAGAAGCATGTAGGTTCCATTTTTGTGAGTTTGGATGCAATAATGTTTATTCTTAACCAGGCGAAGAAAAAACACCCCTTAAAGTTGAGTCCACAAACTGAAAGTTATTCTTTTGGATCTTTTAAAGTGGGGTTGTATACTTATCCTTAGACAGTGTATTATATACAGTACTTGGCAGTCAGCACGTTCCTGTTTGGAGAAGCAGGCTGCAGCACCACAAGGAAAGCTGAGCAGTATACTGCTGTGGACGGGGGTTAGCAACATACCATATTTTAGCCACCTAAAAAAATCAATATCAGGTTAAGTTTAAGCTATTTTGAGAATATTTTCACTGCTTTACCTTGTCACAGGCAGCCCTTTTCAACAAGAAAGCCTTTACAACTTTAGTTCCCCGTCTACTGTATGATCTCATCAAAGACACCAGACTCCATTGACAAAAACAGTAATTCTGGCTTGCTGAACACAGGAGCTGCTGGTCTACCACTGCCTCAGCCATATATAGCTTGTCTGAACTAACTCTTTTAAACGCCAAAGTCACACACTGACACAAATTAACTAACTGATCGAGGCAGTGGTAGACCATTAGCTCCTGTTTTCAGTGATGTTAGATGCTGTTTTTCTCAAAGGAGTCTAGCATATGACAATATACGTTTTGCTGCTGCCCCTGTCTGCCGCAGTACATAGCTTAGCTTCTGTGGCGGTATTCCTGTCTGCTCCTCCAAACTGGGGGTGTGCCGACTGCCATATACTGTATGTAATACACTAGGGATAAGTAGCTCATACAACCCCACTTCAAAAGATCAAAACCATCCCTTTAATCTTAATAAAGCCATAAACACCTACATGTACTGTACATATGTCAGGTTGAGCTCAGTGCTTCCTCCAGGCAAAACACCACTAAAAACCAGCACAACCTCCACCCACAGGGTGAAGGCACTTGGTGCTAATATGAATCTTTCTATCTGTTGCACAGGTCCACCAGGTCCCAAAGGCCCAGTAGGACCTCCCGGCCCTTCAGGACAGAATGTAAGCTTGCTCACAGCATAATGGTGCAGTTACTGAGTTTAGCACTGTCAGATTTGTAGCGATACAAATTCATCATTGTCATATTGAATTTCCTTTCTGACTTAAATACAGGGGAAACCTGGAGCCCCTGGAATGCAGGGCCCTGTGGGGCCGAAGGGAGAGCGTGGGGAGAGAGTGAGTACACTCACAGCCTGATGATATTCAGTAGGTTTTCTTCATTTAACCTACATCCCTAAACAACATGCCTTTGGTTTCTCAGGGTCCTTTAGGTTACCCAGGAGAGAGGGGCTTCAGAGGTGAGCCGGTAAGCTACTTCCACCCTGCTGCTTTGATAATTATGGCCTGAGCAAATGAGCATATGGGGGGAAACATCAGTCTGTGTCATGGCTGGTTATATTACTGTAAACTACACTAACCAGCAGCACTGCAAACCACACTGACCAGCAACAACACAGTCTCAGACAAAATGAGCTCCTTCTGTTTAAGTAAACTGCTGCACTGCTTTCGTCAATGTTTTGAGGTCATATTTTTCTCTGTTAATATTTCTTCACAGGGAGCACCGGGTCCAAAGGGAGATCCAGGAGAGAAGGGCTTGCCGGTAAGAATGTAGTTGGTGGTAATTTACAGTTCACATGGTGACATGGGGCTTGGACAGGAGAGTTTTGCCTTCAGTTAGAAGATTCAACCAAAAGTTTTAAGATTCCTTTGCTGAGCATTAAATATTTTCTCTGTGTCTGTCTAACCCTTATTTTTCTTTTACCTTTTTCTCATTTTACAAGAGCAATCTAAATGTAAGATATATTTTAATTATGTCATCACGTGTTCACTTTTCACTATGAATCTATTCTGTAACCTGAATCAAGTCTAACCATGACCCACATCTCAGGCTATGGTTATGATCTTTTTACAATCACCATGTTTATGGCTGTGATCGGCCACAGACTGGTGTTCATCTCTTTTTCTCTCCAGTCCATACTATACTTTCCTCCCTGTTGATATTCAAGTGTTTTATATTGTTGTTTCTGTTTATGTGATTTTTAGCTGTCGATCCGTCTGATTTTGTGTGTGAAATCTTTTATTGTTAATGTGTTTTTGTTTTTGTTGGTCCTTGGGGTGTGCTCTGGACTGCTGTCCCCTGTAACGACGCTGAACTCTTGACCCTAAAGCTGTCTGACTCCCTCTGCAAGCTACTGTCCCCATGGCTACCTTTCACAGTCACTTTTTCAGCATCTGACTTTGGCATATACATGTAAATATAAAGACAACAAACACTGTCAATCTTGTAACAACACCGTGCACCAACTCTGAGTGAAAAGATACAAAATATGGGAAAATCCTTCAAGAAGCAAATGTAGACTCATTTTATTTGAATTCAATTGGATTTGTTTGATATTACGGACTTCAAATGTGTGAAGTGTATATGCCAAATCACTCCATATGTGTCAGTGGTGGGTCCTGTTGGATTTAGAGGTGTTGTGCTCTGATGTGAGTGGAGTGGATACAGCTATCCTCCTCTTTTATCCCATAATGCATCCTTGCATGATTTCACCCTTCAGTGCCACCTAAACTTTATTTTCTGGATACTACAAAATGCATCTAATGAGTGAAATAATACAGTTAAAACAGAAATAAGGCAAAGTAGCTCTAAATTCTCTAGTTTTATTTCGGGTAACGAGTCGACAGCCATGCTAGCAGCTCTGTGAGGCTGTACTGTAATGTCAGCTTGCTAACATGTTCACAGTGACAATGTTAATGGGTCTATTCATCCCAAAACGAAAATACATATGTTTCCTCTTATCTTAAGTGCTATTTATCAGTCTAGATTGTTTTGGTGTGAGTTGCAGAGTGTTGGAGATATCGGCCGTAGAGATGTCTGCCTTCTCTCCAATATAATAGAACTAGACAGCACTCAGCTTGTGGTGCTCAAAGTGCCAAAAAATACATTTAAAAGACACAACAGTGATGTCTCTTTCCAGAAATCATGACCCAGTTTCTCAAGATAATCCACATTCTTGTTGTGAGCAGTTTCGTGTAGGAACTATTACCTTTCTACCGAACTACACCCACCAACTATATCACTACACAGAAGTTTCACTGCAGTTGATTCAACAGTAGTGAGATATTTCCCTAAAAGTCACAAATGTCAACCTTTTGGTGGTGCTACAGGAAAAGTGAGGGGATGACCAAAGTCCTTAGGATTCATCCTCTGGGCATCATGAATGGATAGGATAGGACAGGACAGGAAGAATAGGGTGGGATAGGATAGGATAGGATAGGATAGGATAGGATAGGATAGGAAGGATAGGGTGGAATAGGATAGGATCGGATTGGATAGGATAGGATAGGATAGGATAGGATAGGATAGGATAGGATACAATCAGATAGGATAGAGTAGGATAGGAAGGATGGGGTGGAATAGGATAGGATCAGATCAGATAGGATAGGGTAGGATAGAAAGGATGGGGTGGGGTAGGATAGGGAAGGATAGGATGGGATGGGATGGGATGGGATGGGATGAGATGGGATAGGATAGGATGAACTTCATTAATCCCTAAAGGGGAAAACTGGTTGTAGACAGAGACTGTAGACAAAGACATACACATTACATCAACAAAGACATAGACAGAAAACACACAATGCATCACCCACACAATAGATAACACCAGGCAGAGTTACTGAAGGGAAGTGTATAGTTCCATTGCATCAACAATAAGATGGTCAGTAAAAGCCAAGTATACAGTTAGTAAGATCAAAACAAAAAGTGCAGATGTGCCAATGTACAACCATGGAAACTGTATGTAGGAAACAGCAGCATAAGTAATTGATGCATACAATGAGTAAATAGATAGTGGAGAAAAATTGTATCGACATTGTCTGTGGACCAACCAACAAACTGACATTACCATCTATAGCTGCTATCATGGCTAAAAATAAAATATAATCTATTTGTATGACTCAGTGAGACTTTGCCTTTTTTCTTTAAACATCAAGTGTGTCCTTGGTTTGTTTTACTAATCAGTCACTCACCAAAAGCTTCAGCTATTGTCTGCATGCCTTCTTTGTGACGGTGATGCTTTCAGCTGTCTGTCTGCTTTACTTCTCTTGTTCAACTCCTTCTGTTATTTTTGAAGGTATGACTTATGAAGCCATCGCCTTATCCTTTCACAAAAGACAAATGAATTAGATTTCAGTGTAAATCTATACTGGCTTCATTCTGTCAGGTAACAATGGGTAACTTTTGTGAGCACAGCGTTAAGAATGAAAGCTGTGATTGCCTGGCTTAAACTGCTACCCGACAAGAAGGAATGCAGATGGCATGATCAAATCTAAATCCTGGTAGAGTGTAATCCAGCTGTGTTATGTCACCAACATGAGGCTGGTCTGTAATGTGCATGCTGATGTTGCCCAGCCCAGCATGGCAGAGACTGACTTCATGTAGCAGCATGGCCAGAGAATGAGGGAGATACAGAGAAATACAGGGAGCAGATATGTCTGAGAGTGCTGGGCAGATATGTGGACTGTTTTAACCTTCTAACTGCTGAATTGTATTGAGAGAAAAAAAATGACTTGCATCTTGGCGAGCTGTTCTTTGGCTTGTGCTCCTTACCTTGACGGCTGTATCTATCTTCACAGGGGGACGGAATACATCAGATCAGAGAGGCGCTGAAGATCTTAGCCGAGAGGGTTTTAATCCTTGAGACTATGATCGGTATTCATGGTGAGTAGGAGGCCTGAGGCAGGGTCAGCTTTAGGCAGGGGTCAAAGGTGTGTGGGGGGGGGGGGGGGGGGGGGGGGGGGGGGGGGTTAAAAACTCCCACCGCAACTCACTGCTGAGACAGGGAGTGGGAACAGTCGCAAGCAGCCCCAGGACTCAGGCTGGTGTTTCCACCCCCTCACACAGTCCCCCCTGTCACTGCTCTCTGATAGGACATTAGCTTGCAGATGTTCCACGACTTGCAGGCAGACCTTGAGCTTCTGGCTCGCAGGGTGACGCTGCTGGAGGCTATCATCTGGCCAGGTAACGCTGAGACATACTCTCCCACAGATCTGCTGGCCCTCACTGACCTTTTTGACAAGATCTAGAAAGCGTTAGAGGCATAAAATAACCACTTGTTACTGAACTGCTTAATCTAGTCTCTGAAAATCAAATGTATTGTTATGTATGAATTGTTTTGGTTTGTAGCACAGATACTACTTAAAAGGCCCTAAAAACCTGTTAACTCAATCACATGACATGACACTCATACTGGTGCATTTTTCTGTTCTCTTCTCTCTGGTTGATGTCACAAACCTCCAAGCACCAATTAGGATATAGATTTGAAGTTTTCAGGGGCTTTAATCTTTAGTGTAATCATGCTTTTTATACCAATGGATGTAAAGTATGTTAGTCTAGCCAGTGGTGTTGCAATGATTTTGTCAATAAAACAACAGAAAATAAAAATATATCAGCCACAATTTTGATAATTTATGAATTGTCTAAGTCATTTAAGTCCAAATTGAGAAAAAAAAATTTGCTATTTTGGGCTTCTCAAATTCAAGGTTTTGCTGCTTTGTATCCTTGAAATTGAATATCTTGGGGTTTTGAACTGTCATGGCTGTTGTCAGCATTTTATAGACCAGACAATTAGGGTGCGTTCCAATATACTAAATACTTATACTAAATATTTTTCTGGCATACAATATAGTATGGTATTATGGGTATTGGAACGCACAGTTAATCTACAGGGAAAAAAATATACAAATCTACTGGTGAGGAAAATAATCGTTGCAGCCCTGCTAGCCAGGCACATTACAACAGAATCAAGCGAAGGTTTTGATAAATCCTTTGAACGTTCTGACTAGTAAGTTAATAATTTTGATATAAATCTGGGCAGCTGGTGTCCAATCAAAATAAGAGCCCACCCACCCCACCCTCCAGGTTAACAGCTACACCAGAGTAGACTTGGATTAGTACTACATGTCCACACACACTGATGGACAGGGAGGCCCCGTTCCAACTGCTGTCTTTCTTCAACAGAGCCTGATCTAGGGTCTGGGGATGGACCGTTTGGCACAGCCTCCCCTAGTTTCTACAGAGATAAGCGAGCAGGTGCGCTTCCATATCGACTTGCTTCACCTCTGTCCTCCAACACCAAGGTTCGAGGGAAGTAGCCCCCCTTCCCCTGCTCACCCTGAGGATCACAGGCTGGGTTGACTCCCCCACCTATAGGTCTCATCGGCACTCAACAGATTTAGACCTTATCTGACACCCGCTCTGGGCTTTGCGTCAGATTTAGGATGGGGGACACCTCAGGGAAACTCCACTGTTACTCCACAATGCCCTCCTCCATCGGGAACCTGAGAACTAGTTTGACCCCCACCCATTGCCATAACCAAACACTTGTCTGTACATAACACACCCAGCAGCCCCTCCTGTGTCTTATTTCTCTGGCTGCAGCAGTGAAGCCTCAGAATAAAGATGTGTAATGTTTGAAAAAAAGTAAAATCTGAATCTTCTGTGGTGCTCCTCGAGTTACACTTAACTCTGGACAATAAGGGTCATTTAGAGTAATCAGTTAAAGGGGGAATCAGCTGTGAGAAAACAGACTGGATTTGCGTTTGTATTGCTTTCACAATGTAACTGCAATCTGAAGAGATTCCACTGTTTAAGTATATTGAGCATGTACAGTTTGCAGGACACAATTACACAAACAAACCTCTTCTTCTAGTATTAATTTTGTTATACTTCTATCATATTGTTTAACTCAATGTTATGTAGTGCACTAAAAAGAAGAAGTCATCTCTACTCTAACTGAGATATGTGTTGCTAACAGTGATTTGTAGTTTTCTGGTGTGAGTGTTTTCCCCCCTTTAAAGTACACACTGAAAAGTGATTTAATGTACAATAGTATATTTACATTTAATCTGTGCAAAAAAGCACAAACATTTGGGTTTGGTAGCATATCAATGGAAACAGTCATGAATTATGTTGTATTCTGGAAACAAACCATGTTTAAAAAAAGGAAACGACTCCGCAAACTGGTCATCTATTTCAAGATCTTAAACACACACACAGAGGAAAAAGCAAACCTGTTAATGGAACTTGAACATATTTTTACCACTGTTGAAACTGTCCTGATGAAAAGACTTGATAACTGTTTTTTCATCTTATATCAAACTTATTGTGAAACTATTTAAAATGATCAAATGTATCTTATTTTGTATGCTGTTGTGTAACCATTTCATATTTCATTCATTTCTTGCAAATGTGTTATTGTGTTAAGATAATCCTGTCTAGATGATTGGTGTAATAAAATAATGTTCATTGTTTTTTTTTAAACATGCCACCTCTGTCTTTATTTGTGTTACACCAGTGTTCATTAAACATGATTACAGCATAAATAAGTGACATCCCCTCTCTCCAATGTACACGTGCAGATACAGAAACTGTCTCCAAAGCCATCAGGTTTGCATCCACACTTGATTAGATTCACAGTCGTGGAAAAAGAACAGCACGGTCTTTCCACCCCCCATAAATTTTGATCATTAAATTAGTTCTAAAAGTAGCCCACAGGGAAAAACTAATCTCGAAGCTCAGCAAAATCCAAGCATAATGTAAGTCCAGTTTACTTCACAGGAGCAAATCCTGTTTCTGTCCAGGAGTGTGAGGTCGTCTAGGTGCTCTGCGGCTGCACAGGGCTCTTCCCTTTTGATACCACCACAGCCTGTTCGCCGACGCTGTCATCAATGAGCAGAGAAATGGCGCCATCTAGCTGTTTTGAGGCTGCTAATGCTACCACGGCTTTCTCTGTGGGGAAGCCCATCTTCTCCAGCTGCTGGAGTCTGAGAGGAAACATTGGTCTTTTAGTAAAAAATAAAACTATGTGGGAATAAGTGAGGAGTTTAACAAAACATATCTAGTCATTCACAAAAATCCAATATGATTTACATTTTGTTTTGGCAGGAATCTGGCAATACGGTACAAATCATGATACAGGGGTTACAGTTCAATATACTAAGAAACTGTAAGCAAGGCATTGCGTTTCTTTAAAATCTGTCTTTAGGAGATAGCGGTGAGTCCTGTATGACTCTGCTTGTTTCATAGGTGGAGTGGAAGACTCAAACTGCTTCCTAGGACTCAGGGGTTTAAACACAACACAAAATGAACCAGTGCCTGTACATTATTAATTAAATATCTATAGTGTTTTTGAGAATCAATACAGTATCACAAAACATATAAAACTCAAGTGGATCGATATTTTCTTCGACCCTAATATGAGATGTTACATACTGACCGCAGAGAGGAGACGGAGGATTTGGGCACCTCTACTTTTGCATCAGGGTTGTCAGGAGCATCCTGTAATGACGCCAGTATTCCTGCCCTCAGCATCTGCTCCTCCAAAACCTCAGCCTCAGTCAGTGCAGCAGACTCTTTCATTATCCAGGCGGGCACTGGATCCACCCATGGGTGGTGGTTCAAAACAGATGGATCCCTCATGGGGGGTGAAGCTGCCTGATCTACAGGCATCATCTGAGAAGCTGATCTGGATCTTTGACAACAGATGAAGTTAAAATGATGAAATGTGCCACTGCATGCAGGTGGTGAGTGTGAGTATTCATTGAGACTTTAGATGAAAACGGGATGAACCACACCTCTGTGTAGTAGTGTAGGTGGGCAACCTGAACCTGGCTGAGATGCGGATATATGCCCAATCAGGAATGAGGTCCAAGATTCTGGACTCCTCCAGCTCCTGTAACGTCCCAATGAAGGACTGATGATCTGAGAGGTACATTAAGTATTATAAAGAAAGACTTGACAGATCACAGATTTGGTGGGGGAGGGCACACTTCGGCTCAAAACCTTAGCAACAAATCTTATGCTTATACTATGGGTCTTCTAGATCAGTGGCTCCCAGCTGGTCCAGCCACGGGGTCCAGATTTCTCTTTAGTCATTAGCTCAAGGACCACACAGTTTAAAATATTTAGTGTCATACTTGCGTTTGGCCATGTTGTCTAGCTAGTTTGCAGTCTCTGTCAAGTAGCTGTCTGTTATTCACTCACTCTACAGGAGAAAAGGGCACTTCAAAATTAAAGCTCTGCACCAGAAATGTACTGCACTTAAATATAAAGTGTTTTTTTACAAACTTGACACATTTGCGAGTCACTTGTGGTCCATTTAGAATGGACCCATGATCCACCAGTTGGGAACCACTGACCTAGGTGACTGTATTTTAATCATAATGCCTGAAACAAAACAAACACAAAAGGGCATCCAGGAATAAAGATAATTAGTGATACAACAATACAATATAAATCTTTAAAAGAGCTGCAGCTGTACTGAATGAAAATTTAAACGCAACACTTTGGTTTTGGTTCAAATTTTTTAAGGTTTAAGTTCAAGATTTAAGACTTTTTATGCACTCAGTAGTTATTTCGATAAAATTTTGGTCTCAAACTTGTTAAATCCATGTTATTGAGCACGTCAGCTTTTCCAAGACAATCCACCTAACTGATTGGTGTGACATATCAAGATGCTGATTTAAACAGCATCATTACTACATAGGTATGTCTTGTGCTGATCACATTAAAAGGCCAATCTAAAATGTGCAGTTTGGCCACACCAGCTCAGGATCTCCACATCCATAATCTTTACCTGCAAGATTGTTTAAGAGCAGCTACCAAAACAGCTGATACAACAACTGGTTTGCACATCCAAAAAATTACTGCACAAACTGTCAGAAACCATCCAAGAGAAGCTCATCTGCATGCTTATCTTCCTCACCAGGGTGCTGACCTGACAGCAGTTTGCCATCATAACCAACTTGTATGGGTGTGAGGCTGGTTGGATGTACTGCCAAATTCAGGGAAACAACATCAGAGGCGGCTTATGGTAGTGATATGAACATTAAGTTCACAGGCAACAGGTCTGGTGGACATTCCTGCAGTCAGCATGCTAATGGAACACTCCCTCAAAACTTGGGACATCTGTGGCATTGTATTGTGACCATCCCAAGGCACACCTGTGCAGTAATGATGCTGTTTTCAGTGTCTTGGTATGCCACACCTCTCATGTGGATGGACTGTCTTGGAAAAGGAGAAGTGCACACTAAAACAACGTTTGAGAGAAACATACCTATTGAGTGCATGAAAAAAGTCTTAGATCTTTAGATCGATAGAGTTGTGTCTAAATATTTATTCAGTAGTTTGCAATTACTACAGCTGATTAGACCTCTGCTTAGATTGAAGTTGGGCTGGGAATTATTTTGTCAAATTCTATGAAATAATAAAAAATGAAAAAGGTGTAAGTTGTCTCAAGCCTACATGTTCAACAAAACTAACAGGAAAGGAAGACTGCAGTCTGTTTATACCCACACAATCTTCAGGAGAGGTCTAATCAACCTTTTAAAAACAAAATTTATACTGTATTTGCTGGGAAGATGTATTTTAGCACAAGCATCATTTTACTGTATGATGAAAGGATACAGTTATGTCCGATGAATATTGTGCAGAAGTGCAGCAGGGCAGGTGTCCCTGGCAGCAGAAATAGACCAGCCAGCAGAAAAAGCCAGGGCAGAAACCAGACTGGTACACACCTGAGCAGCCTCCTCTGGGCCACCTGACGACACTGCGCTGCAAACAGAGCCAGCTGGATGGCAGAGTAACCACAGATCCGACTCGCCTCACCTCCACCGACAAAAAGGACCAGCGCGTAAAGAAGAGGTAATATGATCATTGTGAGGATAGAGAGGGCGAGGAAGGCGACTGTTCCCCAACGACGCTCCTCACAGGGCCCAACCATCAGCAGGAAAACAACACTGACCAACAGAGAGGGCAACTCATCATGACTGAGAGCATACAGAAACACATCTGACGGGGAGAGAAGAAGATAAGATGCGTTATGTGCTTTGATCTGAACATTTAACTGAGATTTGCATGTAAACTCGTAAGATGGGTCATGATAGACACACAATTACCTGTGACCCCTGGGAAGTCTGCATCGGGACCTAAGCTGAGACTTGCCTGGATGCCCCCAGCATACATCAGCAGCATGAGTGTTATCAATAAACATGTTCCCAGACAGAAACCAGGGCGATCCGAGCCAAACCAGAACCATACTGACAACATACGATGAAGCATTATTTAGGGTTAGCTGTAGTTTATTGACTCACTTGTCCTTTTGTTGCATAATTCAGGTAAGCATGCATCTGTTTGTGCTCATAATAAGCACAGCGTCCTTCAAAAATAAAGGGATACAGATATAAAACCCTGTTTGTTTCTCACAATATTGAGAGTGGATGCTGGAGTATATTAATCCACAACTGCAGCTAGGGCTGAAAAATCCTCTCTGCCACCGACTGTACTCGCACAACGAGCCAACGAGTGTACCTGCTATTTTTTTTTTACTTCAATACGTGAGTAATAATTTTCTTTAAAATAGAAAAATCCTGGAAAATATTGATTTAAAGGCTAACAAATGCATACTTCCGCTCTACGTCACGTCTTCTTCTTCTTTGTATTTGTTGGCAGTTGGCAAACTAGAGTAAAGGTTCTATGCCGCCACCTACTGGACACAGTGTCAGTACTTTGCATAAAAATCAAAATCACTACACTTAAATATTTGAGATTGTCTTGTGTAAAGTGAATCATATGACAGCCAGTCCTGACAGGATTCATGGGTTAATTGAATGGACATGTCAATGGATAATGATATTGACAGAAATGACATTGTCATCAATTCTGATAATGAATTGTTGAATAATAAATTATTGTTTAAGTCAGTTATCAAAAAATGCCACAAATTCTCTGGATCCAATTTCTCAAAAGTGAGGATTTGCTGGTTATCTCTGTTTCATGAGATAGTAAATTGAGATTCTTTGGGTGTAGGAATGTTGGTCGCACTAAACAAGCATTTGAAGATGTCCAGTTCCAATGCAGTGCTGTCAATAACCTCATTGCGACCAAAGCAGCCATTGTTTGTTTTATGTTTGACCTGTAAAATCACCTTCCACCAGATGCAGACAGCCAAGGCCACTGAATATCTGCCTTAACACAGCTGACCTAATTAATAGATAAAAATATTAATTAATATTCTTTTTTTTCATAAATTACTACCCCACCTATTTCATTAAATCTCACTAAAATGTTTTGTTTTCTGCTCTTTTTATGTATTTTAAATACCTTGCCAATCTTTGTAATTGCATTTTTTAAATTAAATAATTGGTTTAAGTGTGTTAGCATGTTAAAATTTGCTTATTAGCACTAGACGCAAAGCACAGCTGAGGCTATTTGGGGTGTCATTTTTTATGAAGGTATTTGGCCATAAACCAATGTACAGGACT